CAAGAAGCAAGCCTCAAATTAAGTATGGTATTTACTCTAATTTGCATCCGATTAACTTAATTAAAAGTCTAGATGGTGATCAAGCATCAAGATAATCAACCAAGTTATTAAGCACAGTGATTAAGAATCCAATATCAAACGGCAATCCATAGATAGGTAAAATAAGAAAACTAGATTATCATACTAGGGCTAAATCATGCCCTAGAAAAAGAAAATTAGTTACACATAATCATAGAATTCGACATAAGTAAAAACATAAGGAAGAAACAATCAAACTTAGCCAATAGCGGTACTCTTCCGGTGTCTCCAATTTCTCCTAGTCTTTTCATGTCTCCCCAAGGGAGTTGTTTCTCATGCTTAAATAAAACACCACACATCTATTCCTACCCTAGCTGGGCTTTTACAGCAGCCCAAGAATAAAGAAAAACCTAATTAAAACATAAATCCAAAATGGGTAAGTAATTGATTCCTCTTCCTACTTGGAATGAGATAACACATCAGTTACTTTGCACACACGTTTGGGTTGTTTCTCCTCCAAGAAAATTCGGGAAAAATATGTAAATTGTAGTTTTGGTCTTCTCTTTCCAGCCATATATTGCACGCCTTGAGGAAAAATCAGGAAAGTCTTCAACTACTCATTCTTCCACAGCAGCACAGTTTTGACGGGATTGCACCTTGTGCTGACTTAACTTCAAAGACTGCTCTCATTGGCTGCTCAGAAAATTCTAGAAAAATTCCACAATCATCTTCAAGGTCTTATCCTTCATCTCCAATTGGTCTCGTACTAAAACTCCACCAAAAAGTCATATTTCCATTGGAAACAAATTACTTGCTCTGGAAAGCTGAAAATTGAGAAAATAAAGTAATAAGTCCTTTTTAAATCAAATTCTCCTACAAAAACTAAGTATAAAGAGTACATAAATGTGTAAATTTATGGACTTATCATGGCACAACACTCTCAATTGGTCACACCATGGCACTACCAAACCCATGTCGCCACAAACCTCTTTCAACCTACCGGTTTCTCCACGAGCCACCCAAATGAACCGAACACCGCTCTCGTGCAAACCAGCTGCGATCTCATCCATTTGGGCACTGGAAACTGAAAGAAAACTTCCCATTGAGATGTACAACACAGAGCTAGAAGGTTTAGAATCCAGCCATTTTAAATAGTTAAACACACCACTATCACTAGGGTCATTGTTTGAGTTGAAGTAAGGTATTGAAGGGCCAATGGTGTAAACGGGTAGTGAGAATTTTGCTCTTAAGACGTCAAGGACTTGGGTTTCGAGCTCATAGATGGAGGGGAATAAGAGATATTGAGCTCTAGGCACCCAAGAAAAATCTTCATGGATGTGTCTCAGAATATTTGGGAAGCTTCCATCCATGAAATGAGGAAGGTCTACTAGTCGTGTCGAAGAAACTCCTGGGATGTAGTCCACACGCTCATTGCCCCTCTCTGTTAATGGATATCACTACAAAAAAAAGTCAACAATGGTTACCATTTTATTGGTGACTGTTGACATCTTTAGTCACCTTTTTTGGTGAGTAAAAGCAATAGTCATCATGTAGTTACAATTGTGGACTCCATTACATATGAAGCCGTTATTAAAGGCTATTGTCACCGATATAACAACATTCGTGACATT